GGAGCATTGCAAGTGGGGAAGACAAAATCATGAAGTTTCTCAGTTTGGGAGTGGGAGAGCTGGAAGTTGGTTGGCATCCTTGGGGATCTGAAATAAAGCCAGTGTGGCTGGAATGTAGAGAGGGAGGAATAGAGTTGCACAAAATGAAGTGGAGTGGTTGACAGGGCTTCCAGAAGATAACTGTAATACAGGTTCCAAACCTCTCAAGTTTCATTACTCTTAATTTAGGGAATAAAATAGAAATTGATTTGTGGCTTGGAAAAAGTGAAAAGATATTGGTGAATTAGGAATAATTGGTTAATCTATACTCTGTGGAAGTTGGTGTTGTATTGTGAAAAGAATGTGGGCCTTGGAATCAAAACTAAGTTCATCCCATCTTTGCTTCTTTTTAAATCATGTGTGACCTTGGATAAGTTACTAAGCCTCTCTGAGCTTCTGTTCTTTCATTTGTAAAATGGAGGTAATAGTGCCCCTTTATTGTTATGCTTTTTTTTTTTTTTTTTTTTTTGTCTTTTTGTTTTTTTCCTTTTTGTGGAGAACGGGGTCTCGCTATATTGCCCAGGCAGGTCTCGAACTCCTGGGCTCAAGCTATCCTCCCGCCTCTGCCTCCCTAAGAGCTGGGATTACAGGCGTGAGCCACAGCGCCCGGCCACCCCTTTATTGTTAAAATGAAACTAAATATGTAAAATAGTTAGCAGAGGGCCTAGCTCATACTAAGTGGTCAGTAAACTACATGGTGCTGTTACTCTTACTACTATTTCTCTTCTTCTCAAGGCAGATAGACAACTGCCAGATTGTTCATAAAAATATTAGCTAGGTGAATATGATGAACATAACAAAAGCTTGCACAAACTGACATGCCTGTAATGACTTTAGACTATTTTATGAGTAGTCCTCAGTGAAACAGTGGGAGTATTTCAGTCTGTCCCATGATCGTTGAAAAAGCAGATTTTTTTTTTTCATTGCAAACATCAGTTGAACTGTATGTCCTTTGGGAAAATTTTGCATTTTAAATGAAGCATTGTAAAGCAAAATTCACTATGAAAAGCCATAGTATTATAAAACACACTATAGGCTTTTCAGAGGGAATCATGCAATTGTAATAAAATAGACTCCCTGAAAGTGTTCACGTGCCATGTTAAAGACATAGGGTTGCCGGGCACGGTGGCTCAAGCCTGTAATCCCAGCACTTTGGGAGGCTGAGGCGGGTGGATCACGAGGTCAAGAGATCGAGAGCATCCTTGTCAACATGGTGAAACCCCGTCTCTACTAAAAATATGAAAAATTAGCTGGGCATGGTGGCGCATGCCTGTAGTCCCAGCTGCTTGGGAGGCTGAGGCAAGAGAATTGCTTGAACCCAGGAGACGGAGGTTGCGGTGAGCCGAGATCACGCCATTGCACTCCAGCCTGGGTAACGAGTGAAACTCAGTCTTTAAAAAAAAAAAAAAAAAAAAAAGACATAGGGTTTTCTTATTTCACATACAATTCTCTAGTTACATTTAGCACAAGTAAGATAAACCATTTGGGATAAACTGTCATGTAGGTGTCTGTGGTTGAGTCTGTTATTAATATGGAAATACAGTAAGACTCTGACATAATAAATTGGTTTCCAAAAATTTTAGTCAAATTAATAGAGGATAATGAAATAACTCCTGGCTAGCCAGGTAGGAGTTCTTAGGGTATGGAAACCAATTACCAATTGTCTTCAGGTTATTCGTGTTATTGGAGGATATGTTTGAATGCTAATAACATGTCAAAGAATTTTGATAATGTCTGAAGATTTTTTTTGGAAAGAGAAAATCATTTGGGAAAACATTTTGACCTTTCATTTAGATATTTGTAGGAAGATGCAATATGCAATGGCTAAATTAATTTGATCCTTAAGAAAAGATACATTTTACTTTGTGAATGCTGTATATACACACATAGGAAACTAAAACAATAGTTTTATGAAACTATATATTCCAATATTTTCTGTTATATTTTATTTCAATTTCTGGAAAATGCTATAGTTTACTAAACTAAAATTTTATCACATAGTGGTTTACAACTTGCACTTTGAAAAGCATTGCACTAAATGACTATTAAGTGATGCTTCAGAAAGGAATACCAGGTTACTCTAGAACCATAGATCAGCATTATTTCACTATTAGCATATCCCATATCACTAGTAACAGATGACTAGTAGGTGCCAGTCCCAGTTGGCTGCCTGGGATGGTCTTTAAAAAAGGATTCATATATATATATATATATATACACACACACACACACACACACACACACACACACATATATACATGCATACATATATATGTGTGTGTGTGTGATGTATATATTCACGCACATATTTACTTGCTTATGCACAGGACGGATACATAAGAAATTAATGATGACATGGATTGCCCGAAGGAAGGAGAACTAGGTAACTGGGCAAGAGTGATAAGACACTTTTAAGTGCAGTATACCCTTTTATTTTTCATTCTTGTTAAATTTGAATCGTGTGAACATATTTATTCTAAACATTAATAAATTCTGCTTCTACATTATTAGAGAAAGAAAACAGCAGGGTGACTAGTATAGATCAGAGTTCTACAGTAAAGATTACTGTGTAGGCTGGGCACAATGGCTCGCGTCTGTAATCCCACCACTTTGGGAGGCTGAGGCGGGTAGGTCACTTGAAGTCAGGAGTTCAAGACCACCCTGGCCAACATGATGAAACTCTGTTTCTACTAAAAATACAAAAATTAGCCGGGTGTGGTGGTGAGTACTGTAATCTCAGCTACTCAGGAGGCTGAGACAGGAGAATCACTTGAACCCGGGAGGTGGAGGTTTCAGTGAGCTAAGATCGTGCCATTTGCACTCCAGCCTGGACTCCCCATTCCTATGCTGAACTCTGCTAATCTACACAGTAATCAGAATCTCACATAAAAAAAGATTACTGTGTAGATTAGCAGAGTCCAACATAGGAGTGGGGAGTTACCCTGCATACTGTTTACTGCCCCAATCTAGACCAGCTATATTGACAGTACTATGCAATGATGTTTAGGTGACTCATTAAAAAGGGTTACTTTGTGTTTTGTGCAGTGCTTATTTATCATAGTGGGGGGATATACTATATTCTAGAAAGCTTTTTTCCAATAGAATATGGTTAATTTTAATGTTTCAGTGCTTTTCATTTTTAATTTCTAAATTTGTTATTTAGAAGTAATTTCAAACTTACAGAAAAGTTGTATGAATAAGTTCAAGTAATACCTGTTTCCATATTCACCTTTTGTCAACATTTTACCCCATTTGTCTTCTCATTTGATCTACCTACCTACCTGTTTTTTTTCCCCTGATCCATTTTGGAGACATTTATAAATACTATGCCCCTTTCTTCCTAGCTATTAAAGAGTGTATTTTCTAAAATTAGGTATAGTCTCTTACTTAACTACAGTACTCATATCAGCTTCAATACATTTAATATTCATACTGTATTTTATCTACTCAACTGCTAACTTTCCTTTTTTGTCAGTTGACCCAGGAATATGCTTCATAGCATTTTTTTCCTGCTTTCTGGCACAGGATTTGGACTAGCGTTAGTTATTGCATTTAGAAAATTGTCATCTCTTTAGCTTTTTTTTTTTTCGAGACAGTCTCTCTCTTGTCACCCAGGCTGGAGTGCAATGGCACAATTTCGGCTCTGCAACCTCTGGCTCCTGGGTTCAAGCAGTTCTCCTGCCTCAGCCTCCTGAATAGCTGGGAATACAGGTGCACACCACCATGCCCCGTTAGTTTTTGTGTTTTTGGCAGACACAGGGTTTCACCGTGTTGGCCAGGCCTGTCTCCAACTCCTGACCTCAGGTGATCTGCCCAACTTGGCCTCCCAAAGTGCTGAGATTACAGGTGTGAGCCACTGTACCCAGCCTCTTTGCTTCTTTAGCTTCAGCTTCTTTTGATTGGCAACATTTCCACATCCTTTATTTCTTTTTTACAATTCTGGCATTTTTAAAGAATATACCTTTTCCTTTTTAAAAATAGAATGTTGATTATTTTGATGTTTTCTTTATGATTAAATTCAAATTATGCATTCTCAGAATATTATATAGCTGGTGTGTCTTTCTCAGGATATAAAATCTGGAGATACACAGTGTCCATCTAACATTGGTGATGTTGGAGAGTACTTGGTGAAGGAGTTGCCCAGTTTCTACTGTATAATATTTTCCCCTTGCAACTAAAAAATAATCCATAGAAAGACATGTTAAAACCATGCAAATATACAAATTCATAAAAGTTTTCCCCTAGATTTAGCATCCATGATTGTCCTTGCCTGATCCAGTCTTTACTATGTTGGTTGCAAAATGCTGATTTTTCTGCTGCTAGTACTAACCTCTGCATTTACCAGTTAACACTCAGCATTCTGCTCTAAGCAATAACCCTCATTTCTCCTCCTCTTTTTTTTAATATAAACTTATAAATTACTCCTTCTCATGGTTTGTAATTAATTACTGTATAGAGTAGAGGATTTGATTATGGGATGTGTCGATGACATCAGGAGGTCAGTGATCACCTTGAATTGTGTGCAGTCTTTTCTGTTCTGGCATCTTTCTAGGGAGAGTGTTCCTAACTTTCATCATAATCTTGAAAGGGTTCTGGACTCAAAAGTGGAAAACATGTTGAAGGGTTAGACTTCAAGCTATCTGTAATAGTTATAATATATTTTAATATATTTGTGTACCTGCTCCCCTCCTTTTTACCCCAAGTGATAAGTAACTGAAATGTTAGAACCATATTGTATGTTCTCTGTAGTACATTGCATTTTTGTCTTCTATTTTTAAACCACAACTTATAATGGTACTATATTTTGGTTCCTTTAAATTTTTTCCTAGAATATATAATAAATGTTTAGATCTTCATTGCCATTGTAGTAACAGTTTATGGTGTATAGAACCAGTCTTGCGAAGCAATGAATTACCTTGATTTAATTTGAAATTTTAAAACCAATGTTTTTTACACTATAGTTTTATTAGCTCTCTGGGAGTGAGCTACATGATGTTGTGCACTGAAAATTACCCAAATGTTCTCGCCTTCTCTTTCCTGGATGAGCTTCAGAAGGAGTTCATTACTACTTATAACATGATGAAGACAAATACTGCTGTCAGACCATACTGTTTCATTGAATTTGGTAAGGGCCTGATTTTTTTTCCTTTTTGTTCTGTTTCCATCCAATCATAGGCAATTTTAAATCTAATATTGGATGGAGAGGGGACTTCTGCTGTCTTGCTTTTGATAGAATAATTTGGTAGATGATCTATAAATTATGGTAACTTTTTACTTAGATGCTTATTAAAAAAAAAATTGTGTTTGAGCTGTGAAGGGGATTGTGTGTATTGGTTCAAAGAATTAATGCTGGAGAAGAACTTCTTAATGAGAAATTTATAAGCCAGAGATTCAGACTTTTGTGTTTATGTAATCTTTTATAGTCTGCTTCATATAGAACAGGGGATGGCAAACATCTGCTGCAAGGGACCAGATAGTACATATTTTAGGCTTTAAGGACCATATAGTCGCTGTCCCGACTATTCATCCCTGCCATTGTAGCCCAAAAGCAGCCATAGGCAGTACATAAATGAATGCAGTTATATTCTAATAAAATTTTACAGAATAGTCAGCAGGCTAGATTTGGCCTGTGGGCAGTTGTTAGCTCAACTTCTGATGTAGAAGGAATAAAACACATGTTGTAAATAGTAAAAATAAAATTTCACTTGGAAAATACTTAGGAAATGTCATATTATTTTCATTCAATTTATTTTTTAAAACATACATTCTAATGGTGTAAGCAATAAAGATTTATAAAAACATGCAACATCTAGTGTGTGTTATGAAATTGCAGCTGGTAAATCTGACAGATTTAATATTTCATGTGATAGAAATCTATGAAAAAAGATTTGGCACAGGGCGTGGTGGTTCATGCCTGTTATCCCAGCACTTTGGGAGACTGAGGCAGTAGGATCACTTGAGGCCAGGAGTTTAATAACACTCTGGACAACATAGACCCTGTCTATACCCCCCTCAAAAAAATAGCCGGGCATGGTGGCTCACACCTGTAGCCCTAACTACTTGGGAGGCTGAGGCAGGAGGATCAGTTGAGCACAGGAGTTCAAGATTACAGTGAGCTGTGATTGTAACACTGCACCCTGGTGACAGAGCAAGACCCTTTCTCAAAAAAAAAATTGAGACTTCGGTTTAAAGCTAAAGCTGTTTCTTGTTTTTATAATTCCTTAAAGTGGATGTAATACACTTAGATAGGGTTAAATTCTTAGTTTATTTTCAATTACTGATTTCTAGACTGTAAAACTGATGACTCCATGATATATTAATCATTGAACACAAGTTTGGAATATTTTATGACAAATTGAACAATAATTTTTTTGAATAATAAACTATAATATTTATTATCCATAAACATGTTCTGAAATGATTAATTGACAAGTAACTGCAAGGAAATTTATTTTTTTATTTTATATAGATAACTTCATTCAGAGGACCAAGCAGCGATATAATAATCCCAGGTCTCTTTCAACAAAGATAAATCTTTCTGATATGCAGATGGAAATCAAGCTGAGGCCTCCTTATCAAATTTCCATGTACGAACTGGGGTCAGCCAATGGAGTCACATCAGCATTTTCTGTTGACTGTAAAGGTGCTGGTAAGATTTCTTCTGGTGAGTTCTGGATCTCCATTACTTTTTAAAAAATCATTGGGAAGAACTGAGAAACTCTTCAAAATGAATTACTTTATTCTAATATTTTAAATCAAGTACATGAGAGAATATACAAGTTCAAAGCAATCCTTTCTCTCAGTGGTTTATAAAGTAAGCTACCAGATATGTGACGAATCAGGAAAATACTTTCAAACAGCAACCTCAGAGGATCTCTTTGCTAGAAAAACATTTTTTTAATTTCAAAATTTTTTAAAAATTAATTTTCATGGGTACATAGTTGGTGTAATATATGGGGTATGTGAGTTATATTGTTACAGGCATGCAGTGCATAACAATCATTAGAGTAAATGGGGTATTCATCACCTCAAGTATTATTTCTTTGTATTATAAACATGTCAATTGTACTCTTATTTTAAAATCTACAATATTGTTGACTGTAGTTACCCTATTGTACTGTGAAGTACTAAATCTTATGCATTCTAGCTAACCATTATTTTGTTCCCATTACCCATGCCTCTTTCTCCCACCCCTATTACCCTTCCCATCCTCCAGTAACCAACATTCTACTCTGTATCTCCATGATTTCAGTTGTTTTAAATTTTAGCTCCCACAAATGAGTGAGAATGTGTAAAATTTTCCTTTCTGTGCCTAGCTTATTTCACTTAATAAAATGTCCTCCAGTTCCATCCATGCTGTTGCAAGTGACAGGATCTCATTCTTTTTTTATGTTGAATAATACTTTATTGTGTATGTGTAGCACATTTTGTTTATTCATTTGTCTGATGATGGGCACTTAGATTGCTTCCAAGTCTTACCTGTTGTTAATAGTGCTGCCGTAAACATGAGAATGCAGATATCTCTCTGATAGGCTGATTTCATTTCTTTTGGATATATACCTAGCAGTGTGCTGGTAGCAGTGGGATTGCTGGATTATATGATAGTTCTTTTTTTTTTTTTAATTGCATTTTAGGTTTTGGGGTACATGTGAAGAATATGCACGATTGTTGCATAGGTACACACATGGCAGTGTGGTTTGCTGCCTTCTGTCCCCACCTGTATCTGTCATTTCTCCCCATGCTATCTCTTCCCACCTCCCCACCCCCATATCTCCCCTATTTCCCCCCAACGGACCCCAGTGTGTAGTGCTCCCCTCCCTGTGTCCATGTGTTCTCATTGTTCAACACCTGCCTATGAGTGAGAACATGTGGTGGTTGATTTTCTGCTCTTGTGTCAGTTTGCTGAGAATGATGGTTTCCAGGTTCATCCATGTCCCTACAAAGGACGTGAACTCATCGTTTTTGATGGCTGCGTAATATTCCATGGTGTATATGTACCACATTTTCCCTATCCAGTCTATCATCATTGGGCATTTGGGTTGGTTCCAGGTCTTTGCTATTGTAAACAGTGCTGCAATGAACATTCGTGTGCACGTGTCCTTATAGTAGAATGATTTATAATCCTTTGGATATATACCCAGTAATGGGATTGCTGGGTCAAATGGGATTTCTATTTTTAGGTCATTGAGGAATCGCCACACTGTCTTCCACAATGGTTGAATTAATTTACATTCCCACCAACAGTGTAAAAGTGTTCCTGTTTCTCTACATCCTCTCCAGCATCTGTTGTTTCCAGATTTTTTAATGATCGTCATTCTAACTGGTGTGAGATGGTATCTCAATGTGGTTTTGATTTGCATTTCTCTAATGACCAGTGATGATGAGCATTTTTTCATATGTTTGTTGGCCTCCTGTATGTCTTCTTTTATAAAGTATCTGTTCATATCCTTTGCCCATTTTTGAATGGGCTTGTTTGTTTTTTTCTTGCAGATCTGTTTTAGTTCTTTGTAAATTCTGGATATCAGCCCCTTGTCAGATGGGTAGACTGCAAAAATTTTTTCCCATTCTGTTGGTTGCCGATTCACTCTACTGACTGTTTCTTTTGCCATGCAGAAGCTGTGGAGTTTGATTAGGTCCCATTTGTCTATTTTGGCTTTTGTTGCCATTGCTTTTGGCGTTTTGGTCATGAAGTCCTTGCCTACGCCTATGTCCTGAATGGTTTTGCCTAGATTTTCTTCTAGGGTTTTTATGGTGTTAGGTCTGATGTTTAAGTCTTTAATCCATCTGGAGTTAATTTTGGTGTAAGGTGTCAGGAAGGGGTCCTGTTTCTACTTTCTGCACATGGCTAGCCAGTTTTCCCAACACCATTTATTAAACAGGGAATCCTTTCCCCATTGCTTGTTTTTGTCAGGTTTGTCGAAGATCAGATGGTTGTGGGTATGTTGTATTTCCTGTGAGGCCTCTGTTCTGTTCCATTGGTCTATATCTCTGTTTTGGTACCAGTACCATGCTGTTTTGATTACTGTAGCCTTGTAGTATAGTTTGAAGTCCGGTAGTGTGATGCCTCCTGCTTTGTTCTTTTTGTTTAGAATTGACTTGGCTATGCGGGCTCTCTTTTGGTTCCATATGAAGTTTAAGGTGTTGTTTTCCAGTTCTGTGAAGAAGGTCATTGGTAGCTTGATGGGAATAGCGTTGAATCTGTAAATTACTTTGGGCAGTATGGCCATTTTCACGATGTTGATTCTTCCTAACCATGAACATGGAATGTTTCTCCATCTGTTTGTGTCCTCTCTTATTTCGTTGAGCAATGGCTTGTAGTTCTCCTTGAAGAGGTCCTTTACGTTCCTTGTTAGTTGTATTCCTAGGTATTTTATTGTCTTTGTAGCAATTGTGAATGGCAGTTCGTTCTTGATTTGGCTGTCTTTAAGTCTGTTACTGGTGTATAGGAATGCTTGTGATTTTTGCACGTTGATTTTATATCCTGAGACTTTGCTGAAGTTCTTTATCAGTTTCAGGAGATTTTGGGCTGAGATGATGGGGTCTTCTAGATATACAATCATGTCATCTGCAAATAGAGACAATTTGATTTCCTCCTTTCCAATTTGGATACCCTTTATTTCTTTTTCTTGCCTGATTGCTCTGGCTAGAACTTCCAGTACTATATTGAATAGGAGTGGTGAGAGAGGGCATCCTTGTCTAGTGCCAGATTTTGAAGGGAATGCTTCCAGTTTTTGCCCATTCAGTATGATATTGGCTGTTGGTTTGTCATAAATAGCTTTTACTGTTTTGAGATACGTTCCGTCAATACCTAGTTTATTGAGGGTTTTTAGCATAAAGGGCTGTTGAATTTTGTCAAAAGCCTTCTCTGCATCAATCGAGATAATCATGTGGTTTTTGTCTTTGGTTCTGTTTATGTGGTGAATTACGTTTATGGACTTGCGTATGTTGAACCAGCCTTGCATCCCTGGGATGAATCCTACTTGATCATGGTGGATGAGCTTTTTGATATGCTGTTGCAATCGGTTTGCCCGTATTTTATTGAAGATTTTTGCATCTATGTTCATCATGGATATTGGCCTGAAATTTTCTTTTCTTGTTGAGTCTCTCCCGGGTTTCGGTATCAGGATGATGTTGGTCTCATAAAATGATTTGGGAAGGATTCCCCCTTTTTGGATTGTCTGGAATAGTTTCAGAAGGAATGGTATCAGCTCCTCCTTGTATGTCTGGTAGAATTCAGCTGTGAACCCATCTGGACCTGGGCTTTTTTTGGGTGGTAGGCTCTTAATTGCTGCCTCAACTTCAGACCTTGTTATGGGTCTGTTCAGAGTTTTGGCTTCTTCCAGGTTTAGGCTTGGGAGGATGCAGGTGTCCAGGAATTTATCCATTTCTTCCAGGTTTACTAGTTTATGTGCATAGAGTTGTTTGTAATAATCTCTGATGATGGTTTGGATTTCTGTGGAATCTGGTGATATCCCCTTTATCGTTTTTTATTGCATCAATTTGGTTATTCTCTCTTTTCTTTTTTATTAATCTGGCTAGTGGTCTATTTTGTTGATCTTTTTGAAAAACCAGCTCCTGGATTTATTGATTTTTTGAAGAGTTTTTTGTGTCTGTTTCCTTCAGTTCTGCTCTGATCTTAGTTATTTCCTGTCTTCTGCTAGGTTTTGAGTTTTTTTGATCTTGCTCCTCTAGCTCTTTCAATTTTGATGATAGGGTGTCAATTTTAGACCTCTCCTTTCTTCTCATGTGGGTACTCATTGCTATATATTTTCCTCTAGAGACTGCTTTAAATGTGTCCCAGAGATTCTGGTATGTTGTGTCTTCGTTCTCATTGGTTTCGAAGAACATCTTTATTTCTGCCTTCATTTCATTGTTTGTCCAGTCAACATTCAAGAGCAAGTTGTTCAGTTTCCATGAAGCTGTGCGGTTCTGAGTTAGTTTCTGCATTCTGAGTTCTAACTCCATTGCACTGTGGTCTGAGAGACTGTTTGTTATGATTTCCGTTCTTTTGCATTGCTGAGGAGTGATTTATTGCCAATTATGTGGTCAATTTTAGAGTAGGTATGATGTGGTGCTGAGAAGAATGTATATTCTGTGGATTTGGTGTGGAGAGTTCTGTAAATGTCTATTAGGTTTGCTTGTTCCAGGTCTGAGTTCAGGTCCTGGATATCCTTGTTGATTTTCTGTCCGGTTGATCTGTCTAATATTGACAATGGAGTGTTAAAGTCTCCCACTATTATTGTGTGGGAGTCTAAGTCTCTTTGTAAGTCATTATGAAGTTGCCTTATGTATCTGGGTGCTCCTGTATTGGGTGCGTATATATTTAGGATCGTTAGCTCTTCTTGTTGCAGTGATCCTTTTACCATTATGTAATGTCCTTCTTTGTCTCTTTTGATCTTTGTTGCTTTAAAGTTTATTTTATCAGAGATGAGAATTGCAACTCCTGCTTTTTTTTGCTCTCCATTTGCTTGGTAGATCTTCCTCCATCCCTTTATTTTGAGCCTTTGTGTATCCTTGCATGTAAGATGGGTTTCCTGGATACAGCACACTGATTGGGTTTGGCTTTTTATCCAATTTGCCAGTCTGTGTCTTTTGATTGGGGCATTTAGTCCATTGACATTTAGGGATAGTATTGTTATGTGTGAATTTGATACTGTCATTTTG